AATATGGAGAATATATTCTAAAAAACTAAGAACACAATGTCCTTCTTCAGATGAAAAAAAAACTCTCGAAGTTCTTTAGGACAATTATCATCATGAAGAGAAAAACATGTAATTTTTGATAGGTGTAAAGACTTGCAATAATCTCTCTATTGATGTGTGTAATGTTAACCAACGCAATTTTATATGTTTCAGGATCACCTAAGCATGGTACAAATAAAAAATAATCCAGCAATATTATTGTAACGGTAGAAAAGTAAATTTTGTTACCATGTAATCTTGTTCATCAAATTCATAATACCCAGTGAAAAATATTCTCTGATTTCAATCAAATTATTGTGCAACAAAATCCAATCCGCAATCGGATTGATAATTTTGATTATGATCGATCACCATTTAACACAAACTTGATGTTATTGCTAGCCCAATGGAAATTAGTTTGATTAAAATCGGATTGTTCTGTAGCACAATTCAAAATTATCAATCGATTGACAATGTGGATTTTACTGGAAAACAATCCGATTTCAATCAATCTAATTTCCAGTGGGCTAGCAATAGCATTAAGTTTGGGTTAAATGGTAGTCGATTAAAATCAAAATTATCAATCCGATTGCGGATTGGATTTTGTTGCACAATAATTTGATTGAAATCAGAGAATATTTTTCACTGGGTTATATACATTCTTCTAATCATTTAAAAACTATAATTTCTGTGTTTTGTTTTCAGATATGGTTAAACCGACAAATATAAATTCTGATTATCGTGAAGAAGAACGATTAACATGTGTACTTGTACTTGATACATTTAACAATTACACAAAAGAAATCGTTTCTCATACATCACTTCCATTGTGCTTATGGCCTGTTGATGGTCGACCGTTACTTGATTATACTATTCATACATTAATCCGATCAGGTATACAAGAAATTATTTTATTAGCAACATCATATTCATATGAGATTCGCTCATATATAATGAATAGTCACTGGTCACGAACATATCCAAAATTAATTAAATTAATTCCTTGTAAAGAAGCACGTTCACTTGGCGATTGTTTAAAAGATCTTGAACAAGAAAATATAATAAATAATCATTTTTTATTGCTATATGGTAATGGAACATTAATAACAAATCAAAAATTAAATAATTTATTTATTATTCATAAAGAAAATATAAAAAAAGATAAAAATTGTATAATGACACTTGTTTATCGTCAATTAGATTCAAATCATTTCGAACATCCATCATACACAGATGATCAACATTTATGTATTATACGCGATGCTAATACATATCGTTTATATGATTATTCAACAGAATATATTGATACATATGAAATATCACTTGATTTATTAGAAAAACCGAATGTAACTATTGAAACTTTATTTTGCCCATTGGATTGTCATGTAGCAGTTTGTTCACCTGATGTTTTACATTTATTTAAAGATAATTTTGATTTTTCAACAATTAATGAATTCGTTAAAGGTAAATACAATAATACAAAAGAGCAAATAGAAATAGTTTAACATTCAGATTGAAGTAATTTATTTTTTCAGATTATGTATAAAAATACAAACATTTCTATTTCTATTTCAATCTGAGTTTGATTTTAATTTTTTATTCGAGTCACCAATAGTATTGTTATTTATCGTTTCTTATTTAGCTTTATGTTTGTACATAAAAGTCGTTCTTACTATAGTTACGTTTAGAAAAATCAAAAAAAAAATCATGGTCAACAATTTCGAATATTATAAAAGATGAAAGTATGTTCAGAGAAAATCATATTGTAGAATTCTCATGTATTTTCGAAGAAAATAGTGAGTGTAAGTCTTAAGTTGAAGTTATGTAGCTCTCTCCGTCCTCATTATAGACATGAGCAGAGGTGCAGAATCTTCCAAAAAGTAAAAAATCCCCCCCCCCCCAGCGGAAATTTTCTCCAAAAAATTTCCCC